TGTAAGAAATAAAATGTATTAAAACGTTCATTGGAATGATAACTACCAAGTTCAGGATAGTAGACTCCAAAGAGGGAGAGAAGGTGATAGAACTGGGGGAGGGCACAAAGGGAGTATTAACCACATGTGTTACATTTTATTTCTTAAAAGTGAAAAAATCTAAAGCAAAATATCAAAGTATTTCACACAAAACTTCCATATCATTGTTATTAAGATTAAATGACTCTTCCTTAAAAAAGAAGTTCATCTTAGAGAATTGCACAGACAAAAATATGAGCTTAAAAGTGGCATTTTGAGTTGATTTGCTTCCTAGATTCATTTCAAGTGCTGTTCTTCAGGTCAGAGAGCTTTTCCATTCTCTTTTACCCTTTCAGATATTGCACTCCTTTTCATGTATTTGGGGAAAATCCAAATGTCATAATCATTTACATTACAAACAAGAAAAGCTCTTGGTGCTAATAATTACAGGAAGATGAAGATGAGGATTATGAGTACCTAGTAACATCAGCAACAACAACAAAAAACCAAAAACCAGAAAACAACATCTTATTCAATGTTTCTGAGACATTAGAAAATATTTTCACATTTCAGTGGCATAATACACCTCATCGTATAAGAGTTAATGTACTTTCAGTAATGAAATCAGGACTTTTTTGTTCTTTTAGCTCTCACTTCTGTTCACTTACCACCAGAGTTTCCTTAAGAATATGCACTCTTTTGATCTGTTACCTGTTTTACTCTTATACTATTTCCTATGCAGTCAGAAATTTAAAAAGCAGATCCAAAATAGACCACCTCTGGATGAGGTTCTCTGTCCCTAAGAGATGTTACTGAATTATTAACTTCCAAATCCTCCCAAAAGTATTTATGTTATAAGAATAAACCCAGGTGGATGTGTTGCCTATAGATGCAGCCGGTGTTCCAGGTTCTTGTCCTGTCCCAGAAAGAATTCAGAGATAAGACGTAGTGGTTAAAAAAGATAAAGTAAGGATTTATTAAAGGATGGATAGTACACTCTCAAGGGGAGAGCAGGCAGGCTCAGGTGAGCGGCTGCCCTGTGTTTCTTTGGCAAGTTAGTTACATAGGGTGTAAAAATGAATGGGCGGAATATTCATTGAGGAAGGAAGGACTTGGGGTCATATTTCCTGATTATCATCCCAACTCCACCTTCCCAAAGGGAGGAGGGATTTTTGTCCTTATTTAGTCTGGATCAGAAGTGTCATGGCGTCGGTGCATGATGGGTACTTCTGATCTGCAAAGCTAATTTTATTGAAATGAGGGCATAATGAGCAAAAGGTTACATTCGGACACTGGAAATTCCTGCCTTTTCTCACCTTTCTTTGTTCTTCTCCGGGCCACTTGTCATCCCAAAAGGCATGATCCCTTATCAGCCCAAAGGTTCCTGCTTTTCGTTCTCTGCCCAGGGACCCCTGCTGCTTACATGATGTGTGGTTTCCTGCATTTGGCTTGTGCCCCTCCTTTCTGCCCAATTCCTGTCATTTGATCTGTGTCCCTCTTTCTCTGCTCATATCTAGCTATCTGCCTGCTCAAACAGATGGGTATCACTTAGTGGTAGAGGGCATGCTTAGCATGCACAAGGTCCTGGGTTCAATCCCCAATACTGCCATTAAAAGATAAAAATAAAAATAAACCTGAAAACTTAAGAAGTACTAATTTCAAGCAATAGTGAGTAATGTTTAGACATTTTGTTGGTTTTCTTTTGTATTGAAGGGTCTTTACGGAAATCAAAACAGCCTATAATGTGGGTCCCCAGGGTCATGCAGTCTTCAGGGGGTTATCAGATTAGCTTGCTGCCTCAAACTAGTATTTTCCTCTTTTCCAGTGATGCTAGAAATACGCTCCTGATTTTAGCTCTAAGAGTTGTCTGTCCCCTTGTTCATCCTCAGAAATGATTTTCCATACACTGGGCATTTAGTAAATGGTTGTTTATGAGACCCAGGAGGTTGACCATGGTCTAAATGGATTATATTGTTTCTAGTCCCAGCATTCATACATGATATCTGATGTGTCTCTGTCCTTTGGAATAGGAGAAGCTGGCCTGATCGTGCAGCTGACCCTCCCCAGGGTACCAGCTAAATTCCCATTGGGTATGTTCTTGTTGGTACTTTATCACCATCTTCTGTAGGTCTAGGTATCTTTCTCAGTTTGAAAAAAAAAAGCAGAAAACCCGTGATTTATAACATTCCAGCTCTTTACTTTTTCCTATCCCTATCCTTGATTCTCTCCTTAATCACTAGCTGAACTCTGTATACTGTGTTCAGTCAGATCTTTCTATCTCCTTGCACTCTGTCATGGGCCATTCTTCTTTCCACTTGACCATATATGTTTTGTTGCCTCCTCCACATTGGAAAACTGCTCATAATAAAATTAACAAACACTTATAGAGCATTTGCTTTGTATACTGTTCTAAGGTGCTTTACAAATATTATCTTTATCATTTCATATTGGACAGTAATCTTGGGTACTATTGTTATGACTATTTTACCAATGAGGAAATAGAGGCATAGGAAGATACTTTATTTTTTTTGGAAGATACTTTATTTAATATGTAAAAAATTTCCACGGTACTTCTGAGGAGCAAAGATGAAATCTATGTGAAAGACCTTTCTAATAAGTAAAGTGCAAACATTTTACTATTGCCTAGTTTATAACAAGGCTCAATGAATGTTTGTTGAATGAATGGGTAATTATTACTGAGATGTATCACGTTTTGTGTAGGTAGAATCCCCAGAATGATGTAAAATATAAATATCCCGAGCACTGTGTCTATAACATATTTCTAGTTTCCTTCTTCTCCTTCCCTCTTCCTCTAGATTTCAAAATCACAATGATTATCTGATTGAATATCTTTAAAAGGTCATGATGAATTATTCTGTAATATTTGAAATGTTATGCTCAGAAAGGTCAAACCTTATTTTTTTTTGTATGAAGTATCACATAGATTTGTTTTTTCAGGACTTTTTTATTTCCTTTTTTCAAAGAAAAGATGGTAAGAGATTTAGAGCAGGGTGCCCTCTTGAGGAAATTTTAGCACCTTCTCAAAAACTGGCTTTGGGTGAAATGAGAAAATCCAGATAAATGACGTCCACTATGAATGAAACTTAGATAAATGAAACATTCAAAAGTAGGAGTAACCAAATACCAGATATTTGAAAATTAAGATTCTTAACTGTTGTGATCTAATTTAGCAACTATAAATAAGTATTTTTAAATAAAAACAAAAATGTAAGGTAGATATTTTATTTCCTCTTATTCACTCAATTCTTCAAGTAATTTTTATTAAGCACCTAATTCTGTGCTGGGAACCACGCCGAGCACAGTGGTCAAAAAAACATCATCTCTGCCTTCATGATGCTAACTGCCTTTGAGGGAGATCTCAGTGAAGGGAAATGAACAAATATATATGTAACTACAAACTGGAGAGAGTACTGTGAAGGAAATGAAAGAGTACTACAATAAAGGAGAACAAAATAGGTTCTACTTAGCGTGGTCAAGGTAAGCCTCTCTGAAAGGAAATAACTGAGCTGCATCCATTTGTTTTCAGTCGGTTCCAAGTTTGTGCATCTTACCAGCCCTTTTCCTAGCTGTGTTCTTCCTTATCTCTGTCCCAGCCATGGAGCTGAGTTAAATCCTGTCTCTGCCCCTGTGGGCAAGCAGACAAGTCTCATCCATCCTTCTACACCTCACTGTTACTCTAGCTAATCCCCTTTGCCTTAGATCCTCACATTCATCACAGTGGGGCACCTGCTTAGTTAGCAAATGACTTCCTTACTAATAGTGATAGCCCTTGATAGTAGAACATTAGTCCATTATAATTATAATACTTAAAGGTCACATTTCCAACAACATTAAGGATGTAGAAGGTCTCAGAAAATGAAAAAGACAGGAAACCCTGCCTGCCAGTCTGCTTTGAGTAGGGAGAGGAAATAGGCATGAAGTAGGCAGAGAACTTGATCATGCAATGCAGTTTGTTCATGTTAATTTTGAAATATCTCAGGTACCCAGCATAATGAAGGATCCAACCAGAATTGGAAATATGGAACTAGATCCCAGGAAAGAGCTCGAAAGAACTATTTTTCGAGAGTTTCAAAGCTCACACAGACATGCTCTGTAACGGTTGACCTGAATCCCCACAATGTATTGCTCTAAGGCTTGTAGCTAAACTTCTTTCTCCAGATGGGTTGATTTCTGCCAGAATGAAGGGTTTAACTGATGTGGAGAGCATTGCCTGCAAGTGAGTGGCCTACAGGGACTTCTGGGTTGGTATTTATGTGACCATAAAAGTCTGGGACCCAAACTTTGAGGAAGCTGCTTCTACCTAAGTTGTACCTATAAATAGCTCTCATCAAGAAGCCTAATCACCTTTTCCTTATTAACCAAAGGACTTTGAACAAAACATTTAACCCTTTTGAATCTCACTTCCCTCACCTATAAATTGAGGTATAAAATCTCTGTTTATTTCACAAAGTTGTTATAGTTTAAATATAAATAATATGTGCTATACAGGTCAGATTGTGCCGCAACTAATACATTCATACATTGTTGTTACTAGATAGCAATTTGGTAAATACACCAAAAACCATAAAATATACAAACTCTTTTGACCTAGTAATTTGGTTCCTGATAATTTATTCCATGAAAAACAAAACTATGTGAAAATCATGTTCATTGTAGCATATGCTATAAAGAAAATACTGCAGGCGGTAATAGAATGGTTAAATAAACTATCTTGCCTTAACACAATGAAATATTGACCAGCCACTAAGTAAACTGTATGCATATAGAAAGTGGTTGGAAGGAAACATGAAAAAATAAGACAATTGATAGAGTTGTAGAATTGTAAGTATTTTTCCTTTTATAATTTATCTGAATGTTATTATTCTAGCAAAATAATTAAAATACTTAAAACATTTTAAAATAAAAAAATTTTTTTGGCTTCAAGCTAAATTTCTTCTTATTGTCTCTTGTTTTTCATTTAGGGGAATTATCGTTTCATGAAACTCTTACTTACTCGCAGAGCAAACTGGATGCAGAAGGATCTGGAAGAAATGACTCCTTTACACTTGACCACCCGGCACAAGAGCCCTAAGTGTTTGGCGCTTCTGCTGAAGTTTATGGCACCGGGAGAAGTAGATACACAAGATAAAAACAAGGTAATGAACTGTCAAAGTCAAAGGCAAATAAAGCAGAAAGCAAATGCGTCCTTTTACGATGTGAAACCTCAAGGAAAAAGGCCTAAATCACCACTCATGCGTGGTGGAACAATGCCAAGTCTCAATACACCCCAGTAAAGCATTTCACTTAAATTCTGTCATTTTATCCTCTTAGCAACTATGCGTGGTGATTAGTATCAGCTTTTTACATATGGGTAAACTGAAGCTCAAGAAGATTAAAGGTCTGACCAAGAGCCAAGTAACAGGACTAGAATTCAAACCCAGGTCTGCCTAACTCCAAAACTCAGTATTTGACTAGTCGTGACAGTTGCTCTAAGTGGTGAGATTTGTGGTGGCCAAATGCCCCGGGTAATGTTCTAAGTGCACAGTGCTTTAATGGCCTGGGATTTGGCACCATTTTTCTTGGGTTTTAGTGTGGAAGCCACTGCTTTTTCTATGTGCTTGGGCAAATTACTTAACTCCTCTATGCCTCAGTTTTCTCATATGTGAAAAGGGGGTAATAGGGTTGTTGATAAAATAAGACGATACATGTCATGTATTTAGCACAATGACCAGTGCATAGTATGCTCTCAATAAAAATTAGCTGTAAAGTTATTATTATTTGTTTCATTTTGATTCTAACATCTGCTCTGGCATTGTTACTAGGGTCCATTATCTTCCCTGCTCTTGAATTTTAACATATTATATACACTGGTCATTGTTTTGATCAATGCTCTGATCATTCTTTCTAGGAAAAAAATATGGTCTTTAGTTGGACAAATGCAATCATCCTCTTCCTTTTTATCAGGCACTTAATCATAGAGTCTTGCTGACTCTAGCACTCCCATGTAATTAAAACTCTTAATGATTGATTCACTGGGTTTATATTCAGTCATGTTTTCATTCTCTGTTCTTTATGTAATTTTTAGATTTCGCTTAGTGTAGTCACTCACATACCCCAGAGTTCTGAAATTAACTTTAATTTTATTTTACAACTATTGTAAATTAGTATTATTCCTAACTCACAGCATTTAGAGTGCTAATATTTCACTAAAAAAAGCACTTTGATCAATCCACAAAGACCCATTAATCACTTAAGGAGCTATAACCATCTTTGGGCTTCATGTCTTCCCCAGTATATTCTGTGAACTTCCTGCTGTCTTCCAGTCCCTGTATATTCTTGAACAGAGTAGGGAGGTTATTCATTTAGACAGATGGAAAATGGATCTGCATAGTCCAGGCAGACACGAAGAAGAAAGACAAAAACCTAAACAATGAGTCTCAAATCATCTGAGGCGCAGGATCCGTTGTTGTTATATTTTTTTTAATTTCTACTTTGTCACAGACAAATAATCTTATAAAAGACATTAGAAATAAACAATAAAAAGCCAAACAACCCTGTTAAAAAATGGACAAAGAATTTGAACAGACATTTCTTCAAAGAAGATACACAAATGGCCAATAAGCATATGAAAAGATGCTCAATATCACAAATCATTAGGGAAACACAAATCAAAAACCACAATGAGATAGCACTTCATACCCTTTAGGATAGTTATTAACACAAAAAATGAAAATAACAAGTGTTGGTGAGGATGTGGAGAGATTTGAACCCTTGTGCACTGGTGGTAGGAATGTAAAGTGGTGCAGCCACTGTGGAAAAGAGTATGGTGATTCTTCAAAAAATTTAACATAGAACTACTATATGATATAGTAAATCTTCTGGTTATATATCCAAAAGAATTGAAATCAGGAATGCAAACAGATATTTGTACATCTATGTTCATAACAGCATTACTCACAATACCCCAAAATTTGAAACAACCCAAATGTCTATTGATGACAACTAGATAAACAAAATGCAGCATATCCATGCAGTGGAATATTATTCAGCCTTAAAAAGGAATGGAATTCTGACACATGATACAACGTGGATAAACTTTGAGGACATTATGCCGAGTGAAATAAGTCAGACACAAAAGGACAACTATTGTATGATTCCATTTATGGGTTACTTAGAATAGCCAAATTCATAGAGACAGAATTTAGAATGGTGGTTGCCAGGGGGCTGGGAGGAGGTGGGACTTGGGAGTTTTTGTTAAATGGGTGTGGAGTTTCAGTTTGGGAAGATGAAAAAATTCTAGAGATGAATGTTGCTGATGGTTGCTTAACAGTGTGAATTAATGCCACTGAACTCTAGACTTAAAAACAGTCAAAATGGTAAATTTTATGTTATGTACGTTTTACCACAGG